ATCACACAGTACTGATCACATACAGTAGTGATCACACAGTACCTGATCACACAGTACTGATACACATAGCTGATTACAAGTACATGATACACAGTAGCTGATCACATACCTGATAAGAGTAGCTGATCACAGTAGTGATCACAGAGAGCTGATAAGTCACACAGTAGCTGATCACACAGTAGCTGATCACAGTAGCTGATCACACAGTACTATCACAAGTAGCTGATCACACAGTAGCTGATCACACAGTAGCTGATCACACAGTAGCTGATCACACAGTAGCTGATCACACAGTAGCTGATCACACAGTACCTGATCACACAGTAGCTGATCACACAGTAGCTGATCACACAGTAGCTGATCACACAGTAGCTGATCACACAGTAGCTGATCACACAGTACCTGATCACACATAGTTCACACAGTAGCTGATCACACAGTAGCTGATCACAACAGTACTGATCACACAGTACCTGATCACACAGTACCTGATCACAAAGTAGCTGATCACACAGTAGCTGATCACACAGTAGCTGATCGCACAGGTCATCACACAGTAGCTGATCACAAAGTACCTGATCACACAGTACCTGATCACAAAGTACCTGATCACACAGTAGCTGATCACACAGTAGCTGATCACACAGGTCATCACACAGTAGCTGATCACAAAGTAGCTGATCACACAGTAGCTGATCACACAGTAGCTGATCACACAGGTCATCACACAGTAACTGATCACAGTAGCTGATCATAGAGTAGCTGATCACATAGTAGCTCATCACACAGTAGCTCATCACACAGTAGCTGATCACACATTAGCTGATCACATAGCTCATCACACAGCTCATCACACAGCTCATCACATAGTAGCTCATCACACAGTAGCTCATCACACAGCTCATCACACAGTAGCTCATCACACAGTAGCTGATCACACAGTAGCTGATCACACATAGCTCATCACACAGTAGCTGATCACACAGTAGCTCATCACACAGCTCATCACATAGCTCATCACACAGTAGCTCATCACATAGCTCATCACACAGCTCATCACACAGTAGCTCATCACACAGGTCATCACACAGCTGATCACACAGGTCATCACACAGTAGCTGATCACACAGTAGCTCATCACACAGGTCATCACACAGCTGATCACACAGGTCATCACACAGTAGCTGATCACACAGTAGCTCATCACACAGTAGCTCATCACACAGTTCACAGTGATCACACAATAGCTCGCACAGTCGCTCATCACACAGTAGCTCATCACACAGCTCATCACACAGTAGCTGATCACACAGTAGCTGATCACACAGTAGCTCATCACACAGTAGCTCATCACACAGTACATCACACAGTAGCTCATCACACAGTCATCACACAGTAGCTCATCACACAGTAGCTCATCACACAGTAGCTCATCACACAGTAGCTCATCACAGCTCACACAGCTCATCACACAGGTCATCACACAGTAGCTCATCACACAGCTCATCACACAGTAGCTGATCACACAGTAGCTCATCACACAGTAGCTGATCACACAGTAGCTCATCACACAGTAGCTCATCACACAGTAGCTCATCTCACAGTAGCTCATCACATAGTAGCTCATCACAGCTCACACAGGTCCATCACACAGTTAGTAGCACAGTAGCTCGCACAGTAGCTCATCACACAGTAGCTCATCACACAGTAGCTGATCACACAGTAGCTCATCACACAGCTCATCACATAGCTCATCACACAGTAGCTCATCACACAGTAGCTCATCACACAGTAGCTCATCACACAGGTCATCACACAGTACAGTAGCTGATCACACAGTAGCTCATCACACAGGTCATCACACAAAGTGTCACACAGGTCATCACACAGACGTAGATCACCAGTAGCTCATCACACAGTGCATCATACAATAGTTGATCACACAGTAGCTGATCACACAGTAGCTCATCACACAGGTCATCACACAATAGCTGATCACACAGGAGCTCATCACACAGTAGCTCATCACACAGTAGCTCACCACAGCTCACATATCACAGTAGTCATCACACAGTAGCTGATCACATAGAGCTCATCACAGTTGATCACACAGTAGCTCATCACCAGTCATAGCTCATCACACAGTTGATCACACAGCTCATCACACAGTAGCTCATCACACAGTGCGTCATCAACACAGTAGCTGATCACACAGTAGCTGATCAACAGTAGCTGTCACACAGTAGCTCATCACACAGTAGTTCACACAGTAGCTCATCACACAGCTGTCCAATAGCTCATCACACAGTAGTCACACAAGCTAAGTCTCATCACACAGTAGTTATCACACAGTAGCTGATCACACAGTAGTTCATCACACAGTAGTTCATCACACAGTAGCTCATCACACAGTAGTTCATCACACAGTAGCTGATCACACAGTGTTCATCACACAGTAGTTATCACACAGTAGTATCACACAGTAGTCATCACACAGTAGTCATCACACAGTAGTTCATCACACCGTAGCTGATCACACAGTAGCTGATCACACAGTAGTTCATCACACAGTAGTTCATCACACAGTAGTTCATCACACCGTAGTTCATCACACAGTAGTATCACACAGTAGTTCATCCAAACACACAGTTCATCACACAGTAGTTCATCACACAGTAGTTCATCACACAGTAGCTGATCACACAGTAGTTCATCACACAGTAGCTGATCACACAGTAGCTGATCACACAGTAGTTCATCACACAGTAGCTGATCACACAGTAGTTCATCACACAGTAGCTGATCACACAGTAGTTCATCACAGTAGTTCATCACACAGTAGCTGATCACACAGTAGTTCATCACACAGTAGCTGATTACACAGTAGTTCATCACACAGTAGTTGATCACACAGTAGTTCATCACACAGTAGCTCATCACACAGTAGTTCATCACACAGTAGTTCATCACACAGTAGTTCATCACACAGTAGTTCATCACACAGTAGCTGATCACACAGTAGTTCATCACACAGTAGTTCATCACACAGTAGTTCATCACACAGTAGTTCATCACACAGTAGTTCATCACACAGTAGTTCATCACACAGTAGTTCATCACACAGTAGTTCATCACACAGTAGTTCATCACACAGTAGTTCATCACAGTAGTTCACACAGTAGTTCACACAGTAGTTCATCACACAGTAGTTCATCACACAGTAGTTCATCACACAGTAGTTCATCACACAGTAGCTTCACACAGTAGTTCATCACAGTAGTTCATCACAAGTAGTTCATCACACAGTAGTTCATCACACAGTAGTTCATCACACAGTAGTTCATCACACAGTAGTTCATCACAGTAGTTCATCACACAGTAGTTCATCACACAGTAGTTCATCACACAGTAGTTCATCACACAGTAGTTCATCACACAGTAGTTCATCACACAGTAGTTCATCACACAGTAGTTCATCCACAGTAGTTCATCACACACAGTAGTATCACACAGTAGTTCATCACACAGTAGTTCATCACACAGTAGTTCATCACAGTAGTTCACACAGTAGTTCACACAGTAGTTCATCACACAGTAGTTCATCACACAGTAGTTCATCACACAGTAGTTCATCACACAGTAGTTCATCACACAGTAGTTCATCACACAGTAGTTCATCACAGTAGTTCATCACACAGCAGTTCATCACACAGTAGTTCATCACACAGTAGTTCATCACACAGTAGTTCATCACACAGTAGTTCATCACACAGTAGTTCATCACACAGTAGTTCACACAGTAGTTCATCACACAGTAGTTCACACAGTAGTTCACACACGTAGTTCATCACACAGTAGTTCATCACACAGTAGTTCATCACAGTAGTTCATCACACAGTAGTTCACACAGTAGTTCATCTCATGGAGATAAGCAATGTCATGTTATGTACCAAGAGTCCGACACACCTTCATACTAGCGATGCACCCCGGCCCTGACCCGGGCTTGTTTAGTGCTTGCCTTATTAGACAGACTGTTACTGCTGGCAGCCACTGGCCTACATATCCATCACAGCCTGGTTGATCCGGCACTTGGCAGAGGTACATGCCCAGTTTTCTCTTGAAAACTTCTATAATTGTTCTAACAATGTATACAGTCTGGGCTCACGGATGTTGATACAATACTTTCTTATTCTGCCCAAGACGTCCGTTTTTCACTTGGTTTATTTTATATATTTTTCCATATATCTCACTTCAGTACGTTATGGCAGTGTGCGTATATGGAACCAGCCCCTCATGTGTACTTACTGTACATTAAAGTGGTTTATTACTGTATTTTTTTTTAGGTTAACATCATAGGTATTTCGGACATGCAGAATTATTACATTCATATTGGAGATATGACTTGATAAAGCCCACTGTGTGGGCGAAACGTTGTCAATAAAGGATCACATTATACTGCATATGTGTTTATATTTACATTCATATTTTAGCCATGTTTTGTGAAATAAATTTATATGGAGTGCTATGTCCTTCAGCCATTTTTTGCCCAGGATATACAGTGACTTCCAGTTGATCTAGAGTGTCTAATACAATTGCATTGCAAGTTCTTTGAAACGACATACATAAGAAAATTTTGTTTTTTACAGAGATATATAAAGGAACCTGCAAGGGTAGCGTAAAGGGGGACTTACGGGGGTATTCAGTCCCCGAAAAAATCTCTGTTTAGTAAAAATAATAACGCTGCTTCAAAACAAGTCTCCTAACCCCCCCCCCCATTCAACCAGACAACCCCTATGCTTCACCTTCATCCCCCTCCCCGCATAAATCTTGGTGCCACTTGAACGGTAATATGTTTCACCAGGATTTGGATGCTATTCAGGGACTTTTTTTTATTGTCATTTGTGACTTTAATTTGCCACCTGGAATACTACATTTGTAATCCCTTGGGGTGTCACACCTCTGGTCGCCATGTTTACTGTATTTTGCTGTGTGTGTTTCAGGTGTGCGGATGTTGGATGGGACGGTAAATGATGCAGTGGAGGCCCGAGCCATCTCACTCAACCCAGACCACATAGACATCTTTTCTGCATCTTGGGGTCCTGAGGATGATGGCAAGACGGTTGATGGCCCAGGGCCCCTGGCCAAGAGAGCCTTCATCAATGGTGTTATCAGGGTACGCTTGCTGAAGCCTTGTATTTGATGTAACATGATATTTCATCCAGATGTATGCATGTACAAATACCAGGTATAATAAGTAGTGTTTAGAGGCACAAACGAGCTAACCTGGAGAAAATGAAACTGAAAGTGGGCAGACAAGGCACAGTACGCCCTCACTTCTCTTTCTCATCACTCAAGAAATCGTAATGACGCGATTGCAAACAAACCACGGTACGGGCGGAGATTGAACTCGCGGTGAGTGAGTCGTAAAACTCCAGACTGACGCGTTAGCCACTAGGCTAGCTGGCTGCAATAAGATTCATCCAACTAGGTATATTCATACACCATAGGAAGGTTAGCATAGGCACCACTGTGACCACAAATACAAATTTTTACAGATGAATCTCCCGCCAGTGTTTCTCTGTCTCATATCCGACATAAACAAGGACAAATCATAGCACTGTATCATAATTTCTGTACTCACCTATTTGTACTCACCTATTTGTGGTTGCAGGGGTCGAGTCACAGCTCCTGGCCCCGCCTCTTCACTGATTGCTACTGGGTTCTCTCTTTCCCTGCTCCATGAGCATTATCAAACCTCGTCTTAAAACTATGTATGTTTCCCGCCTCCACTACGTCACTTTCTAGGCTGTTCCACTGCCTGACAACTCTATGACTGAAGAAATACTTCCTAATATCCCTTTGACTCATCTGAGTCTTCAACTTCCAATTGTGACCCCTTGTTTCTGTGTCCCATCTCTGGAACATCCTGTCTTTGTCCACCTTGTCTATTCCGCGCAGTATTTTATGTCTATCATGTCTCCCCAGACCCTCCAGTCCTCCAGTGTCGTCAGGCCAATTTCCCTTAACCTTTCTTCGTCGGACAGTTCCCTTAGCTCTGGGACTAGTCTTGTTGCAAACCTTTGCACTTTCTCTAATTTCTTGACGTTCTTGACCAGGTGTGGATTCCAAACTGGTGCTGCATACTCCACTATGGGCCTGATGTCAGTGGTGTACAGTGTCTTGAACGATCCCTTACTGAGGTATCGGAACGCTATCCTTAGGTTTCCCAGACGCCCGTACGCTGCAGCAGTTATCTGATTGATGTGCGCCTCAGGAGACGTGCTCGGTGTTATACTCACGCCAAGGTCCTTTTCCTTGAGTGAAGTTTGCAGTCTTTGGCCACCTAGACTATACTGTGTCTGTGGTCTTCTTTGCCCTTCCCCGATCTTCATGACTTTGCATTTGGCAGGGTTAAATTCAAGGAGCCAGTTGCTGGACCAGGCTTGTAACCTGTCCAGGTGTCTTTGTAGTCCTGCCTGATCCTCGACCGATTTAATTCTCCTCATTAACTTCACATCATCTGCAAACAAGGACACTTCTGAGTCTATCCCTTCCGTTATGTCATTCACATATACCAAAAACAGCACAGGTCCTAGGACTGACCCTTGTGGAACCCTGCTTGTCACAGGCGCCCACTCTGACACCTCGTCACGTACCATGACTCGTTGTTGCCTCCCTGTCATGTATTCTCTGATCCATTGTAGTGCCTTAACTGTTATGTGTGCCTGTTCCTCTAGCTTTTGCAGTAACCTCTTTTGAGGAACTGTGTCGAAGACCTTATTGCAGTCCAAGAAAATGCAGTCTATCCACTCCTCTCTCTCTTACTTCTGTCACCTTGTTATAAAACTCCAGTAGGTTTGTGACAGGATTTTCCTTCCCTGAAACCGTGCTGGTTGTCGATTATACACTTGTTTCTTTCCAGGTGTTCCACCTGATAATCTCCATGACTTTGTATACTGTACATGTTAGTGACACAGGTCTGTAGTTTAATGCCTCATGTCTGTCTCCTTTTTTAAAAATTGGGACTGCATTTGCCATCTTCCATACCTCGGTGAGTTGCCCAGTTTCAGTGGATGTGTTGAAGATCTTTGTTAGTTGCACACACAGCATCTCTGCTCCCTCTCTAAGGACCCATGGAGAGATGTCTGGTCCCACTGCCTTTGAGGTATCAAGTTCACATAGCAGCTTCTTCATGTCCTTCTTGTTGGTGTACCTCCCTGTTCTGATTTCCTGGAGTCCTACCATTTTCCACTGCAAATACTTCTTTAAATCGTGTGTTGAGCTCCTCACATACCTCTTGGTCGTTTCTTGTGAACTCCCCATCATCCTTCGTCAGTCTGATTACCTGGTTCTTGACTGTTGTTTTCCTCCTGATGTGGCTATACAACAGCTTCGGGTCAGACTTGACTTTCGATGCTATGTCATTTTCGTATTGTCGCTGAGCCTCCCTTCTTATCTGTGCATATTCATTTCTGGCTCTTCGGCTGATATCTTTGTTTTCCTGGGTCCTTTGTCTTCTGTACCTTTTCCATTCTCTAGTGCACCTAGTTTTTGCCTCCCTACACCTTTGGGTGAACCAAGGACTCGTTCTGGTCTTCCCACTATTTCTGTTTCCATTGGGAACAAACCTCTCTCTCCTCTGCCTCCTTGCATTTTGTTGTCACATAGTCCATTTCTTTTACTGATTTTCCTTCCATTTCTCTCTATCACTGAACGTCTTGCAGGAAGTTCCTCATGCCTGTGTAGTCCCCCCTTTTGCAGTTTGGTTTTTCCCATCCTATTCCTGCTACTCTCTCCACTTGTAGCTCAACCATGTAGTCAAAGCACAGAACCACATGATCACTAGCTCCTAGGGGCCTTTCATACCTATCCTCGATGTCCGAACTACTCAAGGTGAATACAAGGTCCAGTCTTGCTGAATCATCCTCGCCTCTCTCTCTGGCAGTGTCTCTAACATGTTGATGCATGAGGTTTTCAAGTACCACATCCGTCATCTTGGCTCTCCATGTTTCGGGACTCCCATGGGGCTCCATGTTTTCCCAGTCAATCTCGTTGTGATTGAAATCACCCATGACTAATAACTTTGCTCCCCCCCATGTGAGCTCTTCTGGCCACCTCTGCTAGTGTGTCGACCATTGCTCTGTTGCTCTCGTTGTATTCTTCTCTTGGCCTCTTGCACTTCTGTGGTGGGTTGTACACTGCTGCAATTACCACCTTATGGCCCTCAGACTGGATTGTTCCTACTAAGTAGTCCCTTTCGCCTATGCCATCCATTCCTTCCATTTCCTTAAATCCCCACCGGTTTTTAATGAGCAGTGCAACTCCTCCTCCCCCCCTCCTCCCTCTATCTTTCCTGAGGATTTGATATCCAGATTGCATCTGTTATCATCCTGGTGAGCTTTGTTTCTGTGAGTGCTGTTATGTCTGGGGATGTCTCCTTGATTCTTTCATGCCACTCCTCACACTTATTTGTTATCCCATCTGCATTTGTATACCACACCTTTAACTTCTTTTCTAAAACTGTGGTTTGGGGGGTACACCGGGGTTGGGGAAGTGGGAGTCCTGATAAGGAATTATGGGTGCTTGCTGTGGGGGTGGAGTTTGTAATGAGGTGGGTGGGGGCATTGGATATGGCATGTGTGTTGTGGGTTAGACTGGTTGCATTGGGGTAGTCCTGGTTGGGGGGCTTCTGTAGGTGGTTGTGAGGAAGGCTGTATTTGATCTTCCTCCTGATTCTGGGTTCTCCTGGCCATCTCCATCCTCATCCCTCTTTCCTCCTTTCGTCTTTGTGCCATTTCTCTCAGTTTCTGCCTTTCCTCTCGTGTTCCGTGAGTGGCATCTATTGAGGACACAGAAAACATTCAGGTTGATATGAAGAAAGTCTTTCGGTGGGATATTGTTTTAAGAGAGACAAATTTCAGTTATTTTGCAATGGAAAAATTAAGGAAATAGACTGAAATGGAGCACAAGACTAACATAAATTACTGAAAAGAGCGAAAGTTCAGTGCAACGGATTTGGGAACGATAATGTCAGAGGATCTAGCATCCAAGGATTACAGTAATGTTGCTATCGCAGCTGCAAGGAAAATGATAAGCTATATAACTAGAATATTCAGAACAAGAGATGCCAAGTCAATGATGATACTGTAAAAGTTGTTGGTTCTCTCCAAGTTGGAATATTAATGGCTCTCTTTGGGGTAAACGAAATTGGATAACATGAGAATGTACAGAGAACCTTTACTGCTTGTATAAATTCAGTCAAGCACCTGAACTACTGGGAATTGAAGCCCCTTGAAATGTACTTTTTGGAAAGTAGGTAAGAAAGATGCATCATAATCTACAGTTGGAAAATCTTGGCAGGATTAGTTCCAATGCACACCGAAATTACTCCATATGATAGTAAGAGATAGGCAATGCCAAATATCTCCAGTGAGTCAGGGTGCAAAAAGTACAATAAAAGAAAGCTTGGTAAGTTTAAGGAGCCCCAGGCTATTCAGGGCTTCCCCTTCATAATAAGGGCAATTACCCAAAAAAACCCAAGCTGTGTTTAACAAGGAGCTTGATAAGTTCGTCGGATCAGTTCCTGATCAGCCCGACTGTGGTGCATACATTAGCCTGTGTGCAGCTGGCACCAATAATCTGATCAAACAGGCAAACAGCTGAGAGGCCTGATCTGAGGCTGAGCTACATTAGCAGTGACCACGACTACAGGTAACCTGTCGGTGTATTTCAGCACCACACTGTGGCTCTCTTTGGATGAACACGTCATCAGTGTCTGGTCAAAATGTAGTAATCATCTTGTTTCATTTTGTGTGTGTGTGTGTGTGTGTGTGTGTGTGTGTGTGTGTGTGTGTGTGTGTGTACTCACCTAGTTGTGGTTGCAAGGGTCGAGTCACAGCTCCTGGCCTTGCCTCTTCACTGGTAGTTACTAGGTCACTCTTCCTGTTCCATGAGCTTTATCATACCTCTTTTTAAAGCTATGTATGGATCCTGCCCCCAGTACATCACTTCCCAGACTATTCCACTTCCTGACAACTCTGTGACTGAAGAAATACTTCCTAACATCCTTTGATTTATCTGAGTCTTCAATTTCCAATTGTGACTCCTTGTTTCTGTGTCCCATCTCTGGAACATCCTGTCTCTGATCACCTTGTCAATTCCTCGCAGTATTTTGTATGTCGTTATCATGTCTTCCCTGACCCTCCTGTCCACCAGTGTCGTCAGACCGATTTTCCTAACCTTTCTTCGTAGGACATTCTCCTTAGCTCTGGAACTAGTCGTATTGCAAGCCTTTGCATTTTCTTTAATTTCTTGATGTGCTTGATCAGGTGTGGGTTCCAAACTGGTGCTGCATACTCCAGTATGGGCCTGACGTACACGGTGTACAGAATCTTGAACGATTCCTACTAAGGTATCGGAATGCTATTCTCAGGTTTGCCTGGCGCCCATATGCTGCAGCAGTTATCTGGTTGATGTGCGCCTCAGGAAATGTGCTCGGAATTATACTCACCCCAAGATACTATTCCTTGGATGAGGTTTGCAGTCTTTTGTCACCTAGCCCATACTCTGTAGTCTTCTTTGCCCTTCTCCGATCTTTATGACTTTACATTTGGCAGGGTTAAATTCGAGGAGCCAGTTGTTGGACCAGGCTTGCAGCCTGTCCAGGTCTCTTTGTAGTGCTGCCTAATCCTCATCCGATCTTAAGTCTCCTCATTAGCTTCACATCATCTGCAAACAGGGACACATCTGAGTCTGTCCCTTCCGTCCTGTCATTAACATATACCAAAAATATCACTGGTCCCTGTGGAACCCCGCTCGTCACAGGCGCACACTGACACGTACCATGGCACTGTGTGTGTGTGTGTGTGTGTGTGTGTGTGTGTGTGTGTGTGTGTGTGTGTGTGTGTACTCACCTAATTGTGGTTGCAGGGGTCGATACTCAGCTCCTGGTCCCGCCTCTTCACTGAACGCTACTAGGTCCTCTCTATCCCTGCACCATGAGCTTTATCATACCTCGTCTTAAAGCTATGTATGGTTCCTGCCTCTGCTACATCGCTTGCTAGACTATTCCTTTTCCTGACTACTCTATGACTTAAAAAATACTTCCTAACATCCCTTTGACTTATCTGAGTCTTAACTTCCAATTGTGACCCCTTGCTTCTGTGTCCCATCTCTGGAACATTCTATCTCTGTCCACCTTGTCTATTTCACACAGTATTTTGTATGTCGTTATCATGCCTCCTCTAATCCTCCTGTTCTCCAGTGTCGTCAGGCCACTTTCCCTTAATTTTTTTTTTTGTGTGTGTACTCACCTAGTTGTGGTTGCAGGGTTCAATTCACAGCTTCTGGCCCCGCCTCTTCTCTGGTCACTACTAGGTCACTCTTCCTGTTCCCTGAGCTTTATCATACCTCTTCTTAAAGCTGTATATGGATCCTGCCTCCACTACATCGCTTCCCGGACTATTCCACTGCCTGACAACTCTGTGACTGAAGAAATACTCCCTAACATCCCTTTGACTTATCTGAGTCTTCAATTTCCAATTGTGACTCCTTGTTTCTGTGTCCCATCTCTGGAACATCCTGTCTCCTTCCACCTTGCCGATTCCTCTCAGTATTTTATATTTCGTTATCATATCCCCCCTATCTCTCCTGTCTTCCAGTGTCATCAGGTCGATTTCCCTTAACCTTCCCTTAAGTTCTCCGGGACTAGTCTTGTTGCAAACCTTTGCACTTTCTCTAGTTTCCTTACATGCTTGGCTAGGTGAGGGTTCCAAATGGTACTGCATACTCCAGTATGGGCCTAACGTACAGGGTCCTGAACGATTTCTTATTAAGATGTCAGAATGCTGTTAAGTTTGCTAGGCGCCCATATGCTGCAGCAGTTGTTTGGTTGATATGCGTCTCAGAAGATGTGCCCGGTGTTATACTCACCCCCAGATCCTTTTCCTTGAGTGAGGTTTGTAGTCTTTGGTCCCCTAGACTGTACTGTCTGCGGTCTTCTTTGCTGTACTCTAATCTTCATGACTTTACACTTGGTGGGGATGAACTCCAGGAGCCAGTTGTTGGACCAGGCCTGCAGCCTGTCCAGATCCCTTTGTAGTCCGGCCTGGTCCTCGTCCGATTGAATTGTTCTCATCAACTTCACATCATCTGCGTGCGTACTCACCTGATTGTGGTTGCAGGGGTCGAGACTCAGCTCCTGGCCCCGCCTCTTTACTGATCGCTACTAGGTACTCTCTCTCCCTGCTCCATGAGCTTTATCATACCTCGTTTTAAAGCTATGTATGGTTCCTGCCTCCACTACATCACTTGCTAGACTATTCCACTTCCTGACTGTGTGTGTGTGTACTCACCTACTCACGTAATTGTGGTTGCAGGGGTCGAGACTCAGCTCCTGGCCCCGCCTCTTCACTGAGTGCTACTAGGTCCTCTCCCTGCTCCATGAGCTTCATCATATCTCATTTTAAAGCCATGTATGGTTCCTGCCTCCACTACCTCACTTACTAGGCTATTCCACTTCCTGACTATTCTATGACTGAAGAAATACTTCCTAACATCCCTTTGACTCATCTGGGTCTTCAACTTCCAGTTATGGCCCCTTGTTTCTGTGTCTCCTCTCTGGAACATCCTGTCTCTGCCCACCTTGTCTATTCCATGCAGTATTTCGTATGTGGTTATCATGTCTCCCTTAACTCTCCTGTCCTCCAGTGTCATCAGGCCGATTTCCCTCAACCTTTCTTCGTTGGACATTCCCCTTAGCTCTGGAACTAACCTTGTCGCAAACCTTTGCACTTTCTCTAATTTCTTGACGTGCTTGATCAAGTGTTGGTTCCAAACAGGTGCTGCATACTCCAATATAGGCCTGACGTACACGGTGTACAGTGTCTTGAACGATTCCTTAGTAAGGTATCAGAACGCTATTCTCAGGTTTGCCAGGCACACATACGCTGCAGCAGTTATCTGGTTGATGTGTGCTGCTGGAGACATGCTCAGTGTGATACTCACTCCAAGATCTTTCTCCTTGAACAAGGTTTGCAGTCTTTGGCCACCTAGCCTATACTCTGTCTGCGGTCTTCTTTGCCCCTCCCCGATTATCATGACTGCATTTGGAGGGGTTAAATTCGAGATGCCAGTTGCTGGACCCAGTGTCAAGCCTGTCCAGGTCTCTTTAGAGTCCTACCTGGTCCTCATCTGATTTAATTCTCATTAACTTCACACCATCTGCGAACAGGGACACTTCTGAGTCTAATCCTTCCATCATGTCATTCACATAAACCAGAAATAGCACTGGTCCTTGGACTGACCCCTGTGGGATCCCACACGTCACAGGTGCCCACTGTGATACCTCATCATGTAACATGACTCATTGTTGCCTCCCTGTCAGGCATTCTCTGATCCATTGCAGCACCCTTCCTGTTATATGTGCCTGATCCTCTAGCTTTTGCACCAATCTCCTGTGATGAACTGTGTCGAAGGCCTTCTTGCAGTCCAAGAAGATGTAATCAACCCACCCCTCTCTCTCGTGTCATCTATTACTTTATCATAAAACTCCAGTAGGTTTGTGACACAGGATTTGCCTTCCATAAAACCGTGCTGGTTGGCGTTTATACTCTTGTTCCGTTTCCAGGTGATCCACCACTCTCCTCTTGTGTGTGAGAGTGTGAGTGTGTGTGTGTGTGTGTGTGTGTGTGTGTGTGTGTGTGTGTGTGTGTGTGTGTGTGTGTGTGTGTGTGTGTGTACTCACCTAGTTGAGGTTGCAGGGGTCGAGTCCAAGCTCCTGGCCCCGCCTCTTCACTGGTCGCTACTAGGTCACTCTCCCTGAACTGTGAGCTTTATCATACCTCTGCTTAAAGCTGTGTATGGATCCTGCCTCCACTACATCACTTCCCAAACTATTCCACTTCCTGACTACTCTGTGGCTGAAGAAATACTTCCTAACATCCCTTTGACTCATCTGGGTCTTCAACTTCCAGTTATGACGCCTTGTTTCTGTGCCCCCTCTGTGTCCCCTGGTGTGTGTGTGTGTGTGTGTGTGTGTGTGTGTGTGTGTGTGTGGTGTGTGTGTGTGTGCATACACATGAGTGAGCACACACCTCCACAAATATTTTTTATTATAAAACACATATTTTAATTGAAGGGTCGGCATGGAAAGGGCTCCATCTTTGTGTGGGCGTCAGGCAACGGTGGTCGACATACTGACAACTGTAACTGTGATGGCTACACCAACTCCATTTTCACCTTGTCCATCTCCTCAGCATCACAGAGAGGGTAAGCACCAGGGCCTAACCAGGAATCCTGGGGGGAAAGGGTTGAGTTTTGCAGCTTCATGTATCAACTTGGCCTTGCCGTATGTTACTGTATGTATGAAAATCCATCAATCAGATTTTAGCAACATCCCATGCAGTCTGGCATAAACTGCCAAGCATTATTTTCTATCTTGTTAAATATGTTGAAAAATATGCCAAGATTGAAAATGTTTGTTATATTACAACTGAGACCATCCTGCACTTCCATTGGCCTTAAGGAATAAGTATTGTACAACTCTTTGCCTTCAAATGAACCTTGTTAAAAACAATAAAACAGCTTTCAAATGAGCGCTTAGATTGTAAAGAAAGTTAGGAACCCTTACTCTAACCTTGTCATACCCTGTGTAAAAAAAAAGAAAGTGTAGAGAGTTCGGTAATGATCCACCCATTTATTGTTGATCCATAGCTCTGGTAACCTTTTTTTTCATATCCTTGTTTTATTACACCTTTCATGACTCATCTTGGACCATCCAGTACATTACATGACCTAAGGGAATGCATGATGAGAATTTTGTAAAGATTAGTTCATTAGTTGTTGTTGCCCTGCCTACAACAGGAGAAACTGGCAACTGTGTGCTGGTCTACACAAACTTCAATGGGAAATGGTTGATGTAATTAGTAAAAATATATATGTAGTGCCGCACTCCATATCACCCTACACAACTAGGTGGTGTGCTCACACAGTATTATATTGAAAAGTAGAACCCTTTATATTTATTTTTATTTTTACTATTTGTTGTAAAAGAGAGGGAATGGTAGAGTAGATAGGCAATCCTGTGTCTAATTCCTGCAAAGCTTTTTCTCTTGAAATATACTGGACTATTGAGTGAGCATTACAGTCAGTACCTTACCTGATACTTAGTTATAGTAGACTCTTGAATAACACACATTTAAACAACACATTTGTACTATGAATTGTTTGTGGCCCAATTTCAGTAGTACAGGAAGATGACCTTATTGCATGTCATAAATTTGGGGAAAAATCTGCAAATGCTTAATGCTGATGAGATGGGATTGTATAGATGCTGTTAATAATTTACACTGGTAAGCACAAGTGCACCTGGATTCTATGCAGCAAAGGATTGCTTCACCTAGCATCTGTGCACTAATGTATCAGGTGAAACTAAATGCAGGTAAATGTTTGTTTATCACTTAATCCTCTTCCTGTAGCAGCTTCAGCTTCTGAAATCTGTGAACCCAAATGTGAGGGTTGTCTTTTTACTACCAAATACGGCATCTTTAACACAACCTGTAGATCAAGGAGTGATTCAAGACAGGTGCAAATACACATAAAAGGAGATGCAGAGACTCCTCACAACAGTGGATAATAATGCTGATGCTGGAGTCCTAGACTTCTGGCATAAATTTAAGAATGCAAATTCAGCATCCAGTATATTGGTTGCATGGAATGAAGTACCTCACTCAGCAATGAATGCAGGCTGGAGAAAATAATGGCCTAGTTTGGTGAATCACAGGTTTTTACCTCATTGGACAGTCAGGTCTGGGAAATTGTGGATCTGGCAAGGAGACTGCCAAGTAAGAGATTTGAAGATTTGAAGGCAGAAGTTCAGTTCCCAGATAGAAGGGAGGGAGATAACAGAGGGTGATGAGGTAGAACCTGCAGAAAAACAGTTAACACAGTTCCATGCTTTTAGTAAAATTTAAAAAATTTTCACAGAAGAGCACCACCCACATATTGAGATGCATTGCTGTGAACTGAGTTCTGAAGCAGGTGCTTATAATAATATCTATTTCTACAAGTACATGTTCATGGTATACAGGCCTAGCTGACATCAATGACATACTACTACATAGAAAGCCTTTTGTTATGCAGAGCATTTCGAGCAAATTCGGTCAGTTTTGTCCCAGGATGCGACCCACACCAGTCGATTAACTCCCAGGTACCCATTATTACTAATGGGTTAACATGGACAACTGGTGTAAGGAAACACCGAATGTTTCCACCCTTGCTGGGAATCAAACCTGGAGACCCCTCACCATGTGAAGTGAGAGCTTTTGCCACCAGGCCACGGGTCACCTCATCAAGACCTCCACAAAGTACTGTAGAGTAAAAGATACTAGAAATTCATAACAGAATGTCTGAGAATTTCATGAAGTACAAGTATTTTCTAACATCTCTGTATCAAAATAATCTGAAGAACCAGTGATTCTTGCTACACCAACCCCTTTCACACCTTCCAAGATCATCAATAGGCATCAGTGCTGGATTTAGATGAAGAGAGGTCCTAGGCTATTTCGCTTGTGAGGCCTCTCCCAGTCCTCCACCCTCATAACTAGAGGAAGAAGGAAGTGTGTTTTAAACAAAATTCATTGAAGCCGAGAATGATGATGGGTGTTTGAAACTCTGCAGTTCACAGTTCCTCCTCTAAAAGACATTAGATGTTGTTGTTAAATACCATAGTGATTAAAAAAAAGCATAAAAGTTAAAATTAACACTGAAAAACTTTTGCAGTAACCGAACTTTGTCAACATTTTGTGGAATAAGCATTCTTTAAAATACATATACAGTAGAACCCCGACATCCACTGATTCAGTATCTGTGGTTTCAGTTATCCATGGCTTATTGTGGCTCAAAAATACCTCTTAATTTTGCATAATATTGGCACAAAAGTAGAGAAGCTGGCGGTTGTTCAAGGCCTAGGAGAAGCCATTACTATGTACTATTATCTGTCTAGTTTTACGTAGCTGCTATGTATTAGGATTAGTTTGCCCAGAATCCCCCGGTATGATAGTGGCTTTCTTTGTACAGTGGACCCCCGCATAACGATCACCTCCGAATGCGACCAATTATGTAAGTGTATTTATGTAAGTGCGTTTGTACGTGTATGTTTTGGGGTCTGAAATGGACTAATCTACTTCAAAATATTCCCTATTGGAACAAATTCGGTCAGTACTGGCACCTGAACATACTTCAGGAGTGAAAAAATATCGCTAACCGGGGGTCCACTGTACTTAGCAAACCAAAATTGTAATTACACATTGTAACCTTTACAAAGAAATAAACCTTGATCTTTTATCTTTATCTAAGTGCTTCCCATCAGTGAAAAAGTGATAGTTCTTCACTTATTGTGCATAATTTATCCACTTATATACAGTGGACCCCCGGATTTTGTAGTCATTGGATTTTGTAATATTCGGAAATAGTAACGTTTTTTGTCAAAATATTGGCTCATGATTGTCATTGAGCTCGGAAATAGTAATTCATCCGGAACTTGTCTGCGCGGCCCCACACACCATTTACAGCCAGTGTGCCATTGTTTATTAGCCAGTGACCATCACCCCACGCGTTCATACGATGCATTTTGTATTATTCCATTCTTTTTAGTGCTTGTAGCTGCTATATAAGCCACCATGGGCCCAAAGAAAGCTTCTAGTGCCAGCCCTTTGGTAAAGAAGGTGAGAAGCACTATAGAATTCAAGAAAGACATAATTGCAAAATATGAAAGTGGAGTACGTGTGGCAGAGCTTGGCAGGTTGTATAACAAACCCCATACAACCATCACTTTTGTTGTGTCCAAGAAAAAGGAAATCAAGGAAGCTGTTGTTGCGAAAGGTGCAAATGTGCTTACAAAACAGAGATCGCAAATACTGGAAGATGTGGAGACTTTGTTGTTGGTGTGGATCAACGAGAAACAGTTATCAGGAGATAGTGTTATGCAGTCGATAATATGTGAAAAGGCAGGGCAGTTGCATGCGGATCTTGTAAAGAAAATGCCTGGAACTAGTGCTGATGTTAGTGAATTTAAGGTCAGCAAAGGCTGGTTTGAGAGATTTAAGAAGTGTAGTGGCATAAACAGTGTGGTAAGGCATGGCGAGGCTGCAAGTTCTGACAAATACGTGACTGAAAAATATGTTCAGGAATTCAAGGAGTACATAGAGGTTGAACAATTCAAACCCCAACAAGTGTTCAATTGTGACGAAACAGGCCTCTTTTGGAAGAAAGTGCCAAAGAAGACTTACATCATGCAGGAGGAAAAGGCACTCCCAGGACACAAGCCTATAAAAGACAGGCTGACTCTCATGTTCTGTAGTAATGCTAGTGAGGATTTCAAAGTGAAGCCTTTACTGATGTATCATTCTGAAAATCCCAGAGTGTTCAAGAAAAACAGTGTTACCAAGAGTAAATTGTGTGTGATGTGGAAGGCAAACAGTAAGGCATGGGTCACGAGGGACATTTTCCTTGATTGGTTCAGTGAAGTGTGTTACGTTGTTGTCCCATATACTTTGATAGTATGGTTCTCACTACATGTTCTAGTATGGGGGTAACTTTTACATTAAGGCCTTATCAGACTAGGGTAATACTTTCATATTTGATCCTCCTCAGTGTCTCTGAAATCCTTTCTCCAGCCCTCTTCACAGGTTATTTAAACTAATACTATTACAAAAATATATATATTCAGGTAGATATATACAGAATATACAATATACAAAACATAAGCCTGCACACCCCTTAGCTGCTCTCCTAAGACAGCCCACGTGGTGCATCTGAGCAATTTGCCCTTCTTTCTTCTTGACTAATCTCTGGACTAACCAGTGTTTTGACACACCATAGTCACACTGGGTATGATGGCTACAACTTAAGATATAAAACTCACCCCTGGGGGCACACACAATGCCCCAAAAATAAAAAGAAGGACCCAGAGGTCCTACCAGCTTGAAACCACCTAGGAGAGTGAGAGAGAGGGAGGAGCCTAGCTAAGCTCCTCCCACACTCACCAAACAAACAAAAGACTGTTGCCATGCACAATTCTCTAGTTACCACAATAATGTTTCCCATTTCCACACCTTACTTTATGTTTACAAAAGAAATACAACTTTATAAACTACTTATTTAAATGTGTGTGTGTATAGTATAACCTATTATATTGATAAAAACGCTTGACCCAGTTGCCTCTCGGCCTCTAAGAATGATCTGCCCTTAGGACCATTTAAGTGCTGTGT